CTGCTGCTCCCTCTACCACATACAATACCTGCTGCTCCCTCTACCACATACAGTGCCTGCTGCTCCCTCTACCACATACAGTGCCTGCTGCTCCCTCTACCACATACAGTGCCTGCTGCTCCCTCTACCACATACAGTACCTGCTGCTCCCTCTACCACATACAGTACCTGCTGCTCCCTCTACCACATACAGTACCTGCTGCTCCCTCTACCACATACAGTACCTGCTGCTCCCTCTACCACATACAGTGCCTGCTGCTCCCTCTACCACATACAGTACCTGCTGCTCCCTCTACCACATACAGTACCTGCTGCTCCCTCTACCACATACAGTACCTGCTGCTCCCTCTACCACATACAGTACCTGCTGCTCCCTCTACCACATACAGTACCTGCTGCTCCCACTACCACATACAGTACCTGCTGCTCCCTCTACCACATACAGTGCCTGCTGCTCCCTCTACCACATACATTACACCATGCTCCCTCTACCACATACAGTACCTGCTGCTCCCTCTACCACATACAATACCTGCTGCTCCCTCTACCACATACAGTGCCTGCTGCTCCCTCTACCACATACAGTACCTGCTGCTCCCTCTACCACATACAGTGCCTGCTGCTCCCTCTACCACATACAGTACCTGCTGCTCCCTCTACCACATACAGTGCCTGCTGCTCCCTCTACCACATACAGTGCCTGCTGCTCCCTCTACCACATACAGTACCTGCTGCTCCCTCTACCACATACAGTACCTGCTGCTCCCTCTACCACATACAGTACCTGCTGCTCCCTCTACCACATACAGTACCTGCTGCTCCCTCTACCACATACAGTACCTGCTGCTCCCTCTACCACATACAGTACCTGCTGCTCCCTCTACCACATACAGTACCTGCTGCTCCCTCTACCACATACAGTACCTGCTGCTCCCTCTACCACATACAGTACCTGCTGCTCCCTCTACCACATACATTACACCATGCTCCCTCTACCACATACAGTACCTGCTGCTCCCTCTACCACATACAGTACCTGCTGCTCCCTCTACCACATACAGTACCTGCTGCTCCCTCTACCACATACAGTACCTGCTGCTCCCTCTACCACATACAGTACCTGCTGCTCCCTCTACCACATACATTACACCATGCTCCCTCTACCACATACAGTACCTGTTGCTCCCACTACCACATACATAACACCATGCTCCGTCTACCACATACAGTACCTGCTGCTCCCTCTACCACATACATTACACCATGCTCCGTCTACCACATACAGTACCTGCTGCTCCCTCTACCACATACATTACACCATGCTCCGTCTACCACATACAGTACCTGCTGCTCCCACTACCACATACATTACACCATGCTCCGTCTACCACATACAGTACCTGCTGCTCCCTCTACCACATACATTACACCATGCTCCTTAATATAGTTCTCATCAACAACCAGCTTCCAAACAATTTACTTTATATCTATTCACAATATTTTACCAAAAAGTTGTGTTTTTTAGGTGTAACATAATAATTCTACTGTACTATTCATAACATATTTACTAAAAATGCATCATACACCACCAGTATGCAATGATACCTTGCCATCAAAATTCTATACTTCTACCAGTGTACTACCAACCCATTAATATTCCTCCTTGTTACAGTTTTGTATCATCTCATCAAAACTGCTTTGTTACTAATATTTAAATTTTGGGACATTAATTGGCACTGATACATCGCTTCTCAATTGCCAAATGTATTGGCATCTCCCTGTGAGTCTTAAAGAAGTGGTAAGTAAACCCCCTCATTATTCACATCCTCCTTCCAGGAGAGGATATGAACCCATGGCTGATAATGGCCATCTCTCTCTTGGTTCTTTTCACCATGGGGTTCTTGGTGTGGCTGACGACATCCGTAATACTTCGCAAATGCTACTAGCCCCGTCAACCTGCTGGCCCTTGTAGAGTTTCATGCCTTAGTGGCTGCCCAACATGGTGGGACAAGTTGGCTTTGCCTTCATTTTAGTAGCAATTGCAGTTTTCCCTCACATTAAAGCTACCTTTATACATTTCTAGGCATTTTGTTGCATGTAATAAATTCTATGCGTTGGTAAGTTTTCATTGCAAAGTAATAAGTATTAAATTGTTACTTTCTGCTGGCTTGCTACACACCCGTGATTAGTGCAATCCCCCCAACAACGTGATGATGTATGAAATAAATACCGATTAAGAAAATTTGCCCATTTGCTATTTTAATATTCTAAAAACAAGGATAAGATTAATAAATATTGATGGTAGGAATCCTACATAGAACCTTTGATATAGAAATGAAGTTCAGTAGATCTTCAATCATGTTTTGTTGTCCACTTTCACCCCCTCCCCATGTCTACCCCTCACCACCTCCCCATGTCTACCCTCCCCATGTCTACCCCTCACCACCTCCCCATGTCTACCCCTCACCACCTCCCCATCATGTCTACCCCTCACCACCTCCCCATCATGTCTACCCCTCACCACCTCCCCATCATGTCTACCCCTCACCACCTCCCCATCATGTCTACCCCTCACCACCTCCCCATCATGTCTACCCCTCACCACCTCCCCATCATGTCTACCCCTCACCACCTCCCCATCATGTCTACCCCTCACCACCTCCCCATCATGTCTACCCCTCACCACCTCCCCATCATGTCTACCCCTCACCACCTCCCCATCATGTCTACCCCTCACCACCTCCCCATCATGTCTACCCCTCACCACGAGCTTACCTTGAGGTGCTTCCGGGGCTTAGCGTCCCCGCGGCCTGGTCGTCGACCAGGCCTCCTGGTTGCCGGACTGATCAACCAGGCTGTTGGACGCGGCTGCTCGCAGCCTGACGTACGAGTCACAGCCTGGTTGATCAGGTATCCTTTGGAGGTGCTTATCCAGTTCTCTCTTGAACACTGTGAGGGGTCGGCCAGTTATGCCCCTTATGTGTAGTGGAAGCGTGTTGAACAGTCTCGGACCTCTGATGTTGATAGAGTTCTCTCTCAGAGTACCAGTTGCACCTCTGTTTTTCAACGGGGGTATTCTGCACATCCTGCCATGTCTTCTGGTCTCATGTGATGTTATTTCTGTGTGCAGGTTTGGGACCAGCCCCTCTAATATTTTCCACGTGTAAATTATTATGTACCTCTCCCGCCTGCGCTCAAGGGAGTACAGTTTTAGGCTCTTTAGTCGGTCCCAATAGTTTAGATGTTTTACTGAGTGGATTCTAGCAGTAAAGGATCTCTGCACGCTCTCCAGGTCAGTAATTTCTCCAGCTTTGAAAGGTGCTGTCATTGTGCAGCAGTACTCCACTCTAGAGAGCACAAGCGTTTTGAAAAGTATCATCATCGGTATAGCATCTCTAGTGTGAAAAGTTCTTGTTATCCAACCTGTCATTTTTCTTGCAGTTGAGACGGCTACTTTATTGTGTTCTTTAAAGGTAAGGTTTTCCGACATGAGTACCCCCAGATCCTTTACATTGCCTTTTCGTTCTATGTTATGATTTGCCTGAGTTTTGTACGTGGTTCCCGTTTTTATATTTTCATTTTTTCCATAGCGCATGAGCTGGAACTTATCTTCGTTAAACACCATATTATTTTCTGTAGCCCATAGAAAGACCTGATCTACATCTGACTGGAGGTTCGCCGTGTCCTCTATGTTGCCTACTCTCATGAAGATCCTAGTGTCATCTGCAAAGGATGATACAGTGCTATAGGTTGTGTTCTTGTCTATGTCCGAAATGAGGATGAGAAAAAGTACTGGAGCAAGCACAGTACCCTGGGGGACTGAGCTCTACACGGTTGATGGGCTGGATTTTATTTTGTTGACTATTACACATTGGGTTCTGTTGGTCAGGAAATTGTAGATCCATCTGCCTATTTTTCTGGTAATTCCTTTTGAACGCATTTTATGTGCAATAACACCATGGTCACATTTATCAAAAGCTTTGCGAAATCTGTGTAAATTACATCCGCGTTATGTTTGTCTTCCATAGCATCTAATGCCATATCATAGTGGTCCAGCAACTGCGACAGGCAAGAGCGCCCTGTTCTGAAACCATGTTGTCCGGGGTTATGGAGTTGCTGTGATTCCATGTATTTTGTGATTTTACTTCTTAGCACTCTCTCAAAACTCACCACTCCCTCCACCACCTCCCCATCATGTCTACCCCTCACCACCTCCCCATCATGTCTACCCCTCACCACCTACCCATGTCTACCCTCATGTGCCAAGATTGGACTCCTGGGGAACAAGGAGCAATGGTCAATACTGTAATGCAAAACCCGTACAACCTGACTAACTCGGAATAAGTTATTTGCATTACAAGTTTGTTCCATTCATCTACCCATTCCTAGGAAAGGTAACTATGTTGAGTCTACCTATTGCACTCACTTGGGATGAATATTGGGCAGATGATTAGGGAATAGAGGGAATTATCAAGGGAAAGCATCAAGCCAGTACAACCATGTAGCACTTGGAAGGGGTCAGGATAAGAATTTGGGATGGGACGGGTGTAAGGAATGGTGCCCAACCACTTGGATGGTCGGGGATTGAACGCTGACCTGATGAAGCGAGACTGACACGAGATCGTCTAGGCCAAGTGGTTGGGTGTGGGCAGGTGATGAGCAGCAAGTAATGCTTTAACTACTACACCTTCACTTCCTATGTTAGTAGCCAGTTGGTTTTAGAATATTCCTTGTTTTGCTTGATTTGCCTGCTTTAATATACACTTGTTTGATGAAGATTTCATAGAATGAATTTTGCTTCAGTATTATATATATTTTAAAACAATCTGCATTGTTTTAGCTGTTGGAATATGAATATACACTGATTACTCTTATACTGACAATATTTGAATATTGTATGTGGTTTTGAACTATACTGTATATGAGAAGTAGTTGCATTTAATATTTGATTTTACATGTTTTTGCCGTATGAAATATGTGATGTTGCTCTTTGTTTACAGGTGGTGGTTTGACTGCGGCAGGGCTTCTCGTGCTACTTCTAGCCTTCATTGGTCTAGGAGTAGGAATTTACTATGCCTACATATGCCTTCGTGCTCGCCCACTTCGATCTAAGCCACCCACTGATTCTGAACGTGGCCCCTTGATAAACCCCGATCCTGACGTCAATGGTAATCACGAAGATGCTCCTTTGGAAGCTTCTGCACCAGCAGATGATGATGATAATACCAAATACAAAACACCATTGGATGAACCTGACATCGGCAACGGTCAAGTTAAGTCACTAACTTCTGATCCTCCTGAGAATGTTGTTACATCTAGCAAGACTCCTAAGCAGAATGATGAAATTCTTGTTCCAATTGAGAATGCAGCTCCACCAGCCAAAATTGTGCATGAAAGAGAACTTGTTTCTCCTTTGAATCAAGTTGCCCCATTGATGCTTGCTAGCCCTGCTGTTCTGCAAGAGATTTCACCTGATTGCCACCCACAACAAAACAGTAAGCCTATTCCTCAACCCCAACTAGAGGCTGAGGTACAACCTACAAGAAATACACCCACACCTGTTTATATTCCAGTGCCACATGCCAAAAAACCTTTAACACTCAGTGATGAGGAAGATGGTTTACTGTTGTCAGAATGTGTCCCTCACGATGATAGCATTGATTCTGAACATTGTCCTAAATCCATTTCATTCATTCCTCAAGCGGATGTTCCAAGTTCTACTAAACATGAGAAACTGGAAGCCAGCAACGTTCCACATAAGGAAGACCAGTTTCAGTGTGATCCTGTGCTCATTCCTCTCCACACAGCATCTGCTCCACCCATGCCTGAAACACCAACCTCTGATCCAACACAACCTTTGCCTTCATCTCAGTCTGCTGAGCCAGAGATAACAGTTGTTGAGCCTGCACCTCAGCCTGCACCTCAGCCTGCACCTCAGCCTGCACCTGGTTATGGCTGGAAGGAAGATGTTACACCTGTAGGTAAAGCAGTCGAACCTGTATCCCCTGAATTGTTAAATAATAAACTTTCTCCTTTGCTCGTGCAAGAAGATATTGAACAGATTCAGCCAATCCAAGATACACATTGTTTAGTACCTATTAATGAGATCAAACTGGATATATTAGATAAAAAATCCATCGAGAAAAACAAATCGCAACCAGAGTCTCCAGAAATTTCACCTCGGTCAACACTTAATAATAAGCATACACCCAAGATACCCGAGGAGGCGCCTGGAAAACTAGTAGAATGCCCTCCTCTTGTATGTTTGGAAACTAGTCCACCTCCTGAACAGTTGGGGTCTTGCTTGCCTAGTACATCGTCTGAAGAAGCTGTACCATCTTGCACAGAAATCGGTGAAAAAAAGATACCTGAATCAATAATTCCTGAGGAGGCAAGCTCAGAAGTACCCACAGAATCATCGCTAGATAATGTGAAGAGGCAGCTGCTACTTGATGATAATTGTGAACCCGTTATGGTTATCCCCTTGGAGTCTTCAGTTACAAATCCTACAGATGCCTCCAATACTCCAAATAAGCCACCATCATTAAAAGATTTTCCAAAAGCTCAGACTGATAGTGATTCACAGGCATTTAACATTCCAGAGGAAACTCTAGCAGATATTCCTCCCAATGCTTCAACAAGCATTTCTGCAAAGGCTTTAGAAGACATTCCTCTAGTGATTTCTAATATTCCTCTAGAAGCATATATTCCTAACATTGATGAGGAATATGATATAGATTCAGCAGAAGGAGATAGTATTTTACCAGTTATTAAAGAAGAGGGCAGCGTTGGGACTGAATCAGAATGTGTTGAAACTGACAGCAGCGAACCAGAAGTTACCGAATATTCATTTGCTTCAGGCCCATCAGCCCCGTCTACCTCAGTTGTTCTTGCAGATGAAGTTAGTTCCACTCTGGAGCCTGAAGTAACCAAATATGTTATTATTTCAGATGCAGAAGCATCTTGTGATTCTGACTTGAGTGAATCAGAGAATTCTGATGATGAAGATGATTATGATCCAAATAAGGTTAATTCAGATATTTTACCTGCTAGGCCAACATCTTTTGAACAAGATAGCAAATACAACAATGAGAAAACTATACAAGCCAATCCAGATTCATCTAGAGATAAACCTGATCCCTCAAGTCATTCTTTACCATTTGTTAAAGATGCAGCACCTACCATTATAAAGCCTGATGACTCTGCTTCAAATGTATTAGCCATTATTGCCACTTCTAATGATGGACACTCGCAGTCACCTGATTCGACTAACATTCTGTCAAAGTACGATTCCAATTCAGAAGGCTCTGACACAGAATCTGAAGGAGCAGAAGCTGAGGCAGAGTTAAGGGAAGAAGTGGTCAAAGTACCAACTGCTGTCCATGGAACATCTCCTGAATTCATTAGCACTTCTGTTCCGCCTGAAACTTCTGTGGTAGATACTATAAAAACACCTGTGGTGGTTTCTGATCCTTATCCTCAAAAATCTCTTGATACAAAAGTGCCGAATAACCCTCTTCAAGAGATCTCTGATTCTGCAGAAGAAATATCATCTTCCTCCTGTACGTCTGATTTGTCTGATGATGATATAACAACTTCAACTCCTAAAAAATCTAAAATTCCTAGGCTAGTTAATTGTCATGAATCTTGATTTTTCACTTTTCATTAAGCATAGCTTGACAATTGAGAAACTACAGTACAGTATACAAGTGTAATGAAGATCCTTGAGAGCATCACAAAATTAAAATTAATGGCTTTAAATTATAAATATATTGTAATTTTTTAATATGTTAATGTAACATGTCTTTTCAGAGCTATCTCACTCTTGTGTTTCCCAAAGTAAGATCCTTATGGGTCCAGAGGACTAGAATGACAATTAGGACTTGCGCTGGTATTCTGCACTAGCACACCAGGGATCTTTCAACCATTCCTGCAGGGAGACACTGAATAACATTTAATTGCACCCAAAATTACAATACCTGGGTGTGAAAAGGTTTTTCACACACAGTTCTCACATTCTCCCTATCTGGGTTCATTGACTTAAGATGGGAAAATTCAAGTGGCTTGTTTCATCTTGTTTTTTTTTGTTTGTAGCTTTTTTCATGACCGAACTCTTTGGTCATGAAATCTGAATGAAATGTACCTTGATTTCTGGTTGACTACACTTGGGTCAGGATTCCCAGATCGGATAGTGTTTACCTTCGGGTGATGAGTAAATTACGCATAGTATTCTCATTTTCAGTATGAGTATGATGCTTCATATCTTCCTCAAGCCTCGTTCATCATTCACACAGAGAATGGAATGGGAGGGGGAGAGATGGGGAAGAAATATTCTGGTTCACCATAAGTTTTCTCAGCCGTCCCTTCCACCTGCACAAGGTAAGTAGGGTATGAATCTTTTCCATCCTGTGGGATGGATCTGAACTATACATCTGAAATGCTTCGTTGCTACAGTACAGCTTGCCAAGGTCCTGGTTGGCAGGCAATGGCATTTTCATTTGAAAAGTTTTCAGTTTCAGGGTCTTGAGTGGAATGAAGATTCCTTCATATTCAGTGCCCTCGTTGCTTTTCAGAGAAAGCTTCTTGGAAGTTGAATACAGTACTCAAATTGCCCATTTACTGCAGTATCTTGTAGATCTGAAGACAACATACTCGTCTCACTGACATCCTTAAAGTGTTAGCTTGTTTGGACCTTTTCTCCTCTCGGCTGCAAGTGGAGCCTGCCAAATTAGTGGGGAGTGAGAGAGTGTGAGTGTACTCACCTAATTGTGCTTGTGGGGGTTGAGCTTTGTCTCTGGTCCCATTTTAAACTAAATTATAATTGTGAGTGAGTGAGTCACTTATAACCTTATGTGTGTGTGTGAGAGAGTGTGCATGTGTGTGTGTGTGTACTCAGTTGTACTCACCTAGTTGTGCTTGCAGGGGTTGAGCTCTGGCTCTTCGGTTCCGCCTTTCAACCGTTAATCAACAGGTGTACAGGTTCCTGAACCTATTGGGCTCTATCATATCTACACTTGAAACTGTGTATGGAGTCAGCCTTCACCACATCACTTACCTGGTTGATACCTGGTTGATGGGGTTCTGGGAGTTCTTCTACTCCCCAAGCCCGGCCCGAGGCCAGGCTCGACTTGTGAGAGTTTGGTCCACCAGGCTGTTGCTTGGAGCGGCCCGCAGGGCCACGTACCCACCACAGCCCGGCTGATCCGGAACTTCTCTTAGAAAACCGTCCAGTTTTCTCTTGAAGATGTCCACGGTTGTTCCGGCAATATTTCTTATGCTCGCTGGGAGGACGTTGAACAACCGCGGACCTCTGATGTTTATACAGTGCTCTCTGATTGCGCCTATGACACCTCTGCTCTTCACAGGTTCAATCTTGCATTTTCTTCCATATCGTTCACTCCAGTACGTTGTTATTTTACTGTGTAGATTTGGGACCTGACCCTCCAGTATTTTCCAGGTGTATATTATTTGGTATCTCTCTCGTCTCCTTTCTAGAGAGTACATTTGGAGAGCTTTGAGACGATCCCAATAATTTAGGTGTTTTATCTCGTCTATGCGTGCCGTATATGTTCTCTGTATTCCCTCTATTTCAGCAATCTCTCCTGCTCTGAAGGGGGAAGTGAGTACTGAGCAGTACTCGAGACGGGACAGCACAAGTGACTTGAAGAGTACAACCATTGTGATGGGATCCCTGGATTTGAAAGTTCTCGTAATCCATCCGATCATTTTTCTGGCTGACGCGATATTTGCTTGGTTATGCTCCCTAAACGTTAGATCGTCGGACATCATTATTCCCAAATCCTTGACATGCTGTTTTCCTACTATGGGAAGATTCGATTGTGTTTTGTACCCTGTATTATGTTTCAGATCCTCATTTTTGCCGTACCTGAGTACCTGAAATTTATCACTGTTAAACATCATGTTATTTTCTGCTGCCCAATCAAAAACTTTGTTGACATCTGCTTGTAGTTTTTCAATGTCTTCAGCAGAGGTAATTTTCATGCTGATTTTTTTGTCATCTGCAAAGGACGACACGAAGCTGTGGCGTGTATTTTTGTCTATATCAGATATGAGAATAAGGAACAGTAGCGGTGCAAGGACTGTACCTTGAGGTACAGAGCTTTTAACATCGCTTGGACTCGATTTTATCTGATTGACTGTTACTCTTTGTGTTCTGTTCGACAGGAAATTGAGTATCCAGCGTCCTACTTTTCCAGTTATTCCCATTGACCTCATTTTGTGAGCTATCACCCCATGGTCACATTTGTCGAACGCCTTTGCAAAGTCTGTGTATACAACATCTGCATTTTGCTTTTCTTCTAGGGCTTCTGTGATTTTGTCATAGTGGTTGAGTAACTGTGACAGACAGGATCTTCCCGCTCTAAATCCATGTTGTCCTGGATTGTGCAATTCATTGTTTTCCATAAAACTAGAAATTTGATTCCTAATCACTCTTTCAAACACTTTTATTATGTGTGATGTTAGTGCAACTGGCCTATAATTTTTTGCCAAGGCTTTACTCCCCCCCTTGTGCAACGGAGCTATATCTGCAGATTTAAGTGCTGCTGGTATCTCCCCTGTATCCAGGCTCTTTCTCCATATTACGCTGAGTGCTCTCGCTACTGGTACTTTACATTTCTTTATGAATATTGAATTCCATGAGTCAGGCCCAGGAGCTGAGTGCATAGGCATATTATCAATTTCTCTTTCAAAGTCTTCCGAGTTTGTGGTAATATCCGTTATATTATCTGCAGCTTGAATGTCATTCATAAAGAAGCTGTCTGGGTCATCAACTTTCATGTTGTTTATTGGTGTGCTAAACATAGCCTCATACTGGCTTCTTAGAATTTCACTAATCTCTTTGTTGTCCTCTGTGTACGTACCTTCATTTGTAATTAACGGTCCAATACTGGTCGAGGTTTTGGATTTTGATTTTGCGTATGTGAAAAAATATTTCGGATTTTTCCTTATCTCTTGTATAGCTTTCTGTTCCAATTCCATTTCCTCAGACTCATATGATCGCTTCAACGTTTGTTCTATTTCCTCAATCTCCCTGCTTAGGCTTGTTTTCCTTGCTTGTGATAGTTGTGTCTGCCGAAGCATTTCCGTTATTTTTTTCCTTCTCCTGTACAGTCGTCTCCGTTCTCTTTCTAGAGTGGTCCTCTTTCTGCCCCTCCTCACAGGTACGTGCTTCAAGCAGACCTTGTAAGCTTCAGCTGTCAGTTGAGCTATTCCCTGTGTGGGAGTTTTGTCGCTTAAGACCGTCTCCCATTGAATGGTTGCAAGGTCTACATTTATTTTTTCCCAGTCAATCCTCTTATTGTTGAAATTGAATTGATTGAATATTCCTTCTCGCTTGTTGGGTCTCTTAGACCTACTACCGTTATTTATGCTAGTTCGCACTTCAATGAGCTTATGGTCTGAGTATGAAGTATCTGAGATTGTGATATCCCTGATTAGTTCATCATTGTTTGTGAATAACAAGTCTAGTGTGTTTTCGTTCCTAGTTGGTTCTGTAATCTGTTGATTGAGCGAGAATTTGTCACAGAATCTCAAAAGTTCTCTAACCTGTGGTTGGTTATTTCCCGGGTCATTCCCTGCTATGATATTTGTGTTTGCCGTTCTCCATCTTAGACACTTCCTAATGCATTCCATTTGTCAACCACTCTGACACTAAAAAAGTTCTTTCTAATATCTCTGTGGCTCATTTGGGCACTCAGTTTCCACCTGTGTCCCCTAGTGCACGTGCCCCTTGTGTTAAATAGCCTGTTTTTATCAACCCTGTCGATTCCCTTGAGAATCTTGAATGTGGTGATGTCCCCCCTAACTCTTCTGTCTTCTAATGAAGTGAGGTTTAATTCCCATAGTCTCTCATCGTAGCTCATACCTCTCAGCTCGGGTACTAGTCTGGTGGCAAACCTTTGAACCTTTTCCAGTTTAGTCTTATACTTGACTAGATATGGACTCCATGCTGGAGTCCATATCTCCATATGGAGTAGTGGAGTGTGTGAGTGAGTGAGTGTGTGTGAGAGAGAGTAATTACCTAACTGTAGTTACAGGATGAGAGCTATGCTCGTGGTGTCCCGTCTACCCAGCACTCTGTCATATAACATTTTGAAACTACTTACGGTTTTGGCCTCCACCACCGCCTCACTGAACTACTTCCAACCGTCTACAACTCTGTTTGCTAAAATGAATTTTCTTATATTTCTTCAGCATCTTTGTTTAGTTTAAAACTATGACCTCTTGTTCTTGAAGTTCCAGGTCTCGGGATATCTTCCCTGTTGATTTTATCAATTCCTGTTACTACTTTTTACGTAGGGATCATATCACCTCTTTTTCTTGTCTTCTAGTTTTGGCATATTCAATGCCTCTAACCTCTCCTCGTAGCTCTTGCCCTTCAGTTCTGGGAGCCACTTAGTAACTGGCTGGACAAAGACACTGGAATGTCTTTGCACCTTTTCCAGTGTGTTGATGTACTTCTTAAGATATGGGCACCACACAACTGCTGCATATTCTAGTTTTGGCCTAACAAAAGTCATGAACAATTTCTTTAGTATTTTGCCGTCCATGTATTTAAAAGCAATTCTGAAGTTAGAAAGCGTGGCATAGGCTCCTCGCACAACGTTCTTTATGTAGTCCTCAGGTGATAGTTTTCTATCTAGAACCACTCCTAGATCTCTATCAGAATTCTTTAAAGATTTCTCACATAATTTATAGGTTGTGTGGGGTCTATGTTCTCCTATTCCACATTCCATAACATGACATTTCTTCACATTAAATTCCATTTGCCAAGTGGTGCTCAATATACTTATTTTGTCCAGGTCTTCTTGAAGGACATTACAATCATCTAAGTTTCTTATCCTTCCTATTATCTTATCATCAGCAAACATGTTCATATAATTCTGTATTCCATCTGGTAGATCATTTATGTAGACAATGAACATCACCGTTGCAAGAACTCAACCCTGTGGTACTCCACTTGTGGCATTTCTCCAGTTGGATACATTGCCTCTGATTACTGCCCTCATTTTTCTATGTCAGAAAATTTTTCATCCATGTTAGCTTACCTGTCACCCCTCCAATATGTTCGTTTCCAGAACAACCTCTTGTGTGGAACTGTCACAAGCCTTTTTTAGGTCCAGATAGATGCAGTAAACCCAACCATCTCTTTCCTGTAAAATCTCTGTGGCTTGATCATAGAAACTGAGTAAATTCTATACACAGGTGCTTCCAGATCGAAAACCATACTGTCTGTCTGATATTATATCATTTCTCTCCAGGTGTTCTACCCATTTAGTTTTTATGATTTTTTCCAATATTTTCACTATTACCTTGTCAATGATGTCAATGATACAGGTCTAATTGCGGGGGTCTTCCCTGCTGCCTTGTGTGTGTGGGGGAGAGTGTTTGAGTTTGTTTCCTCGTTTCCTCTCCGAGACTGTTTACACCAGTACTTCGAGATGTGATTGCAAACCTCTTTACCAGGACAATCTCCTTGTTGCTTTTTACATTATTCTTATCCCTTATACTATTCCATAGTAAAGAGGTACATTTGGAAATTGTGGTTATCTTTTTAGACACTATATATAGTGCTGTTGCTAAAGAATGTCCCTCTCCGCTTAAGGCAGAGTTTATGGTGTTAAAAATTCCTATGCGAGTGCTGTGGTGCCTCCTCTTAACTTACTTCCTTCCATGGGCAAATGGACACCTTCTGACAGAACATTGCTGAGTCATTCCTGGGCCCATGCTTGTACATAAAGGAAATATTGGCTAAATGAGTTATTGACACAACTATAGTTTCTTCTGGTAGATTTACATCTCTCGCATAGTGAGGAAGGGCTCTACCAAGAAGAGAATGTTTTTCAGTTTATCGGTAGTGAACTACCACGTCCTCCTCTGTCTTAACTTTATTCGTGTCTAACTTACCAGAAGTTCACCAGGTT